CGGCGCATCCGACCCTGTTCCAGCAGGTTTCCGGCGCATCCGACCCGTTTCCAGCGTATTTCCCGCAGATCCAACCCATTTTCCCCGTTTTCCTGCCGATTTGACCCATCTCCAGCACTTTTTTCTCCTGCAGAACAACCCGGTTTAAGGATTTTCCCCACAGGTCCGACCCGTTTCCAGCATTTTCCTGCGTATCTGACCCATTTTCCAGAATTTTCCCCAAGAAACGACCGATTTCCAGCATTTTCCCCTAGAATCAATCCGTATCCAGCTGCTTCCCCGTAGGATCGAACAATTCCCTGCATTTTCCCGTGGAACGACAACTTTCCAGCATTCTTCCTGCAGATCTGACCCATTTCCAGCATTTTCCCCAAAGAACAACCGATCTCCAGCATTTTTCTGTGGAGCGACCCGTTTCCAGTATTTTTCCTGCAGATTTGACCCATTTCCAGCATTTTCTCCAAGAAACGACCGATTTCCAGCGTTTCCCCCCAAGACCGAGCCACTTCCCGCACTCTTCCACGGCACAACCAGATTCCAGCATTTTTCCTGTGGTTCTGACCCATTTCCAGCGTTTTTCCTGCAGATTTGATTTGTTTCCAGCATTTTCTCTAAGAAACGACCCGTTTCCAGCATTTTTCCGGGGAACGTCCCGTTTTGCTGGGACTGGGCTGTCTCCCTGCCCCAGTGCTCCCAGTAGCCTCCCAGTGCCCTCCCAGTACCCCCCAGTGCTGGGACTGGGCTGTCTCCCTGCCCCAGTGCTCCCAGTAGCCTCCCAGTGCCCTCCCAGTACCCCCCAGTGCTGGGACTGGGCTGTCTCCCTGCCCCAGTGCTCCCAGTAGCCTCCCAGTGCCCTCCCAGTACCCCCCAGTGCTGGGACTGGGCTGTCTCCCTGCCCCAGTGCTCCCAGTAGCCTCCCAGTGCCCTCCCAGTACCCCCCAGTGCTGGGACTGGGCTGTCTCCCTGCCCCAGTGCTCCCAGTAGCCTCCCAGTGCCCTCCCAGTACCCCCCAGTGCTGGGACTGGGCTGTCTCCCTGCCCCAGTGCTCCCAGTAGCCTCCCAGTGCCCTCCCAGTACCCCCCAGTGCTGGGACTGGGCTGTCTCCCTGCCCCAGTGCTCCCAGTAGCCTCCCAGTGCCCTCCCAGTACCCCCCAGTGCTGGGACTGGGCTGTCTCCCTGCCCCAGTGCTCCCAGTAGCCTCCCAGTGCCCTCCCAGTACCCCCCAGTGCTGGGACTGGGCTGTCTCCCTGCCCCAGTGCTCCCAGTAGCCTCCCAGTGCCCTCCCAGTACCCCCCAGTGCTGGGACTGGGCTGTCTCCCTGCCCCAGTGCTCCCAGTAGCCTCCCAGTGCCCTCCCAGTACCCCCCAGTGCTGGGACTGGGCTGTCTCCCTGCCCCAGTGCTCCCAGTAGCCTCCCAGTGCCCTCCCAGTACCCCCCAGTGCTGGGACTGGGCTGTCTCCCTGCCCCAGTGCTCCCAGTAGCCTCCCAGTGCCCTCCCAGTACCCCCCAGTGCTGGGACTGGGCTGTCTCCCTGCCCCAGTGCTCCCAGTAGCCTCCCAGTGCCCTCCCAGTACCCCCCAGTGCTGGGACTGGGCTGTCTCCCTGCCCCAGTGCTCCCAGTAGCCTCCCAGTGCCCTCCCAGTACCCCCCAGTGCTGGGACTGGGCTGTCTCCCTGCCCCAGTGCTCCCAGTAGCCTCCCAGTGCCCTCCCAGTACCCCCCAGTGCTGGGACTGGGCTGTCTCCCTGCCCCAGTGCTCCCAGTAGCCTCCCAGTGCCCTCCCAGTACCCCCCAGTGCTGGGACTGGGCTGTCTCCCTGCCCCAGTGCTCCCAGTAGCCTCCCAGTGCCCTCCCAGTACCCCCCAGTGCTGGGACTGGGCTGTCTCCCTGCCCCAGTGCTCCCAGTAGCCTCCCAGTGCCCTCCCAGTACCCCCCAGTGCTGGGACTGGGCTGTCTCCCTGCCCCAGTGCTCCCAGTAGCCTCCCAGTGCCCTCCCAGTACCCCCCAGTGCTGGGACTGGGCTGTCTCCCTGCCCCAGTGCTCCCAGTAGCCTCCCAGTGCCCTCCCAGTACCCCCCAGTGCTGGGACTGGGCTGTCTCCCTGCCCCAGTGCTCCCAGTAGCCTCCCAGTGCCCTCCCAGTACCCCCCAGTGCTGGGACTGGGCTGTCTCCCTGCCCCAGTGCCCTCCAGGTACCTCCCAGCCCAGTGCTTCCAGTGTTCCCAGTACCCGCCTCAGCCCCAGAGCTCCCAGTGCCTTCCCAATAACCCCCAGTCCGTGCTCCCAGTGCCCTCCCAGTAACCCCCAGCCTAGTTCCCCAGAGCTCCCAGTAACCCCCCGGTCTCCCATCACCAGAGCCTGCAGAGCCGCTGAGCCCCACACAAGCAGGGATCACCCCCGGCTCCCAGCCCATTCCCCTGCTAGAAATGGGTATTTTGGTTAAATTAACAATTTTTTATTGAGGGCAGAAGTGTCTGTGCCAGCTCCGCCACTGGTCGCTTTTTATTTTTGGGGGGGTTGAAAACCGGCCAAAACTGGCCTAAAACCCGTTTCGCTTTCTGCCACGGGTCCTTTTTTTATTGATTTTACAGCAAATTTCTCAAGCCCGGCTCAAATTTCCTCATTTTCAGGTGGGTGGAGGGAGCTCCCACGGTTAATTTTCAACCCCGGGATGGAATTTCGTTACCCGTAACGAATCACTGCGTTTCCACCGATCGATAACGTAGAAATTCCCCCCCAAACATCCATTTTTAACTCAGAACCCTTTTTAAAAAAAAAAAAAAAGGCGCGCTGACGTCACGCCGCGGGTTTAACAGGATTCCTCCGATCCCGGAAATTTTCAGCCACCGGGATGAGCCCGACGGGGCCGTTTTATTTCTTTGGGGCAAAAAAAAAGGCCGAACGGCGCACGCTGCGTTTCTTAGGGGGGAAAAAAAAGACGGT